CAGCTCTTCGTTCCCCCGCTCCAGTCGCTCAATCCGATTCGCCAGACGCCGTAGACTCTGCGCGCTCGCAGCCTCCTGCCACCGGTCACGCTGTTCGTTTCCAGCGTGACGGTCTCGCGCCTCTTGATGATAGCGCTGGTCACACCCGCCATATTGTGGAGTCCATCCTTCGTCACGACGATTCTCGCGCCGCCCCTCGTCGCGGTGTTCGCCACCGCAACGCCGCGATACCTGACCACCGTCACTACCTGGTCCGCTGGCTTGATCCGATGGACGAAAGTTGGGAGCCCCGCACTGTGCTGCTTGCGGACGTGCCGGACTGCGTGGCGGCGTACGAGGCGACTCTTGCTGGAGGCGCGGTAGCGAACCGTGCCTATCATTAGTAGAGACGCTGACGGTAGCAGCCGATGAGGTGCTTTTCATCGTCGGAGAGGGGATGGTCTTTGACATAACGCCGCCACTCGCCTTCGTACGGTCGCGGAAGGCTGAAACCGCGACACTTCGGACAGCCTTCAAGGTAATGAACATAACAGCAGTGCCGGTCCGCCGCCCACGCCAGCTCGCAGAGTCGCGACGCCAGACGTCCGACCGACATACGCTCATGCGTGACCTCACGAGCCACGATAGTCTTGCGGAAGCCAGATCCGGTTTCGAAGTTCCACCGATCCTCGAATGCAGTCCAGGCGTTGTCGAGCGACTCCTCCGTCACGGTGTACGTCACCGTGACGCCCTTGCCGCGCACACCGCGCCACCGCTCGAACCAGCTCAGCATTTAACTGTCCGTCAGCGGGCTCTTGAAGCCACGACAATCGCCGAGCCGCCGATGTTTTAGGACGCTGGCGTACCAGCTACAAGCGTCGGATCTTGCCGCTGCTTATCTTCCCGTGTCCATCCTGCTCCCCGCGCTGCAAGTTCCCGACTGCCGCTACCTCCGACGCCTCCACGATTCTTCAAGTTTGCGTGAGGGGTGGTTTGACAGGCTACTGTCACACAATACCGCCACCGCTCCATCGCGGTGGCCAATCAGAACTATGTACGTATCCACTGGTTGTGACGGCCTCGTGTGCCGAGGCCGTCTCGATAGTTAACCTTCAGAGTTTAATCGACCAACACCTTCCCAATTCGCTAGTGTACGTCGGTAACGGTTTGAGCCCGTTACAGCAGCTGTAATAACATTGGTTAGCTGTTCTGCCAGCTAATGCTGCCCTCCCAATATTAATCCTGTTTGGGTTGTCCATTACTCATTCTGAGGTATTCCCAGTATAATGTGTACATAGTACATATAGCAGCTATTGCATGAGTGGCAAAAGTGTTACTCCATTCTTCAGCCGTTACTTTAAGTTTACTCAACAAATAAATAGGACGCCCACCTTAGTGCTCACTATACACTGACTGTATAGTCAGCATAGGGGTAAATAACAGCACACTCGTCTCTACATGTGATAGAGAACGCTAA